ATATATATATATATATATATAAATAGATAGATAAATAGACAGAGAGAGAGTATTAGGGATACCATATGGATGGATCGGATAATTTCTTAAACAAATCATAAAGAATTTGATTAAAATAATTCATTTAGATCTTCTAAAGTAATAGATGAATTTTGAAAAACATTCTGAATTGTAATCTAATAGGTTTTAAAAAAACAGATAATAGATCACTAAATATTAATAAAATTAAATAGATGAATTAGATTCAATTCATAATATATTTTAATTGTAATGATAAATTTAGTTGTAGATGAATTAAATGAATAATAGATAAATAATATTTTTACCACTCCAAAACATTATGTCTTTCAATCATATAAAATCACACAGTCTCCATGTATCTTTACCTGTGTTAATTAGTTAACTACTTATCTATTAATTTTAATTTTAAAAAATAACTTTCTATAAAAAATTAAATTATATATAAATATAAAATATTTTTGTTTCAAAAGATAGATATATATTGTTATTAATTATAATAATATAATTTAAAATTTTAAAAATACTTACTAATTTTGAATTACAATACGTACAAATAAATATTTATCCTATACACACTGAAATACAAACACTTTTTTTATTTAAATAAATTAGTTAAAAAAATATGTACTTATAAACTAAAACAGTAAAATTAAAGAACCTGACTACCGAAGAAATTGCTGGCTAGGTAATAATATTATGATGAGAAGCTACAAGAAATAAAAAATAATTAAATAGTAGAAAATCATTTGATTAGTAAGTGTAGAAACTATATATTCTGCCTTCCATATATGATCGTTAGAGTTAATAAATAAATAAAAGATATTTAAACAGATTTATGTGAGATTTGGAACCACCAAGTGCACTGTATATATGAATTGAAATGGGATTGTTCTTAATTAGTAATTTACTTGATTCATACAAAATTATCTTTATTTAGTATAGCTAGGATTCGTATTGTCTCTCTATATAATGTGTTGTTGGATGTAATTCTTCTCAATAGCGTGATCGTGAGTTTGTGTATTTGTGTATTTAAGAATGTGTTAGAATATGTAGAGTTGGATTAAGGGTGATAAGTTTGAATTTTAATGAAAATCGGATATGGAAAAATTAATTTATGGAGAAATTTTCCAAAAAAAAAGATTAACAAAAATATATACAATTTTATAAAAAAAATATATATATATTAATTAGTTATTATTATTATTTTTTAAATTTTGATACAAATTAATATTCAATAATTTTACTCTGCAACATGCATCTTTAAAGATGCAATGTCTGCAATGCAATGATCGTAATCACAACCAATGGTGATCAAAAGTAGAAATTGGTGGGATGACTACTCAAGGTTTCATTGTTGAAGGGTTGTCAAAAACATGTTATTTAGTTTATATAATATAAAAATAAAATTTCCATAATTAAATCATATAAAAATGTATTAAAAAATAAATTAATTAAGAAAATTTATCCAAAAAAATTTAATTGTAAACAATTAATAAATAATTACTTTTTCCCATAATCAACAAAAATCTACCCATAATTTTAGAAAAATAAATCAATAATATTAAATATAAAGAGAAAAATATGATATATTATTCACTATTTCCTTTTTTCTCCTCAATGAGAATTTTCATAAGTGTTAATGTAAAATAATAAATAAGAATTGTCTTTGACTTTGTTTTCTTTTTCCTTTATCTCTAATTTTTTAATTCTATTCTATTTGTTAAATCGTGACCTATTTATTTTACTAAAACTTTAAAATAAAATTGTAAATTTATACCTCTCTCTTATGAGCTTCTTTGTGAAATGTTATTATTATTGATCCATTTTTTCAACATGAAATAATCTCTATGAATAATTTATAATTTCGTACAAATATATTATGCATCTAGTCATCTTTTAATAATTACGTGTTAAATTATTCATATTTTATACTTTTAGGTTTAAATAGTTTTATAGACATCAATTTTTTCACTTCGTACGCAAGACACCAAAAGCCTCAAGTCCACCCTGATTACAATCGCTATTTATAACTGGTTACAAATTAACAATGAATCTAGCTACTCTAGTTTTACACCTAGTCATCACGTGACAAGCGCAGTATTCTTTCACCACCTTGAGTCTCGATCATATCGAAAATCTTGAAATGTTGAAAATGGTCAAGCCACAATGTATGTTAATTTAATTCATGGTCAAAGCTAAATTTTGCTTATTATATATGGAATCATGCATAGTTTTCCTTTCAAACCATTTTCACTTTTTAGAAATTCAACGGAACTACATTGTAGCTGTACACTTGCACTACCTAATCCCGAGTTTAATTTCAACTATTTAAAAATAATTTACGTCGAAATAATGTAATGCATGACCTCATTTCTTGAAAACTTGCATGACCTCATTTCGTGAATTTGCATGTTCCAAGCACCTATAAAACCACATGTGTTACCTTGGTCTTTTAATATCCTGAGGACGTGCACCTGTTATTTTTTCATTGTCTTAGACCATTCATTGTGCATCAACATAATGGGTAGGCCACCTTGCTGTAACGAGAGTGGTGTTAAGAAAGGGCCATGGACACTGGAAGAAGATGAAAAGCTAATGGATTATATTAGCAAACATGGAAGGCGAACTTGGAGAACACTTCCAATGCATGCAGGTCTAAATAGGTGCGGGAAAAGTTGCAGGTTAAGGTGGGAAAACTATCTTAGGCCAGATATCAAGAGAGGGAAATTCACTGAAGAAGAGGAGCAATTGATCATCAACCTTCATTCAGTTCTTGGAAACAAGTATGAATGTTTAACTAACTTCTTTTGATGTTTGTATAGTGCGTCGATACTTATCGATTTTACATCTAAGTTTTCATCGATTTAGTTTTTGTTATCATTTAAAAGATCTCATATTAATGAAAACTTTGTGTACTTATGAATCTATATTTTCTTATTCTAATTATGTAAGACTTGTATTTCAATAGTTTGTATATGTGTTTTTGTGTTTGTGTATGCAAATCAAGTTGAAACCATAATTAATTCCTTTTGATGTTGTTTGTAGGTGGGCAAAGATTGCTACACATCTTCCAGGGAGAACTGACAACGAGATCAAGAATTATTGGAACACCAACATAAGAAAAAAGCTTCTTCAGATGGGTATTGACCCAGAAACTCACAAGCAAAGAACCGACTTCAATCACCTCATGAATCTTTCCCAGTTGCTTGGCATGTCTTTGGGCACATCAATGAGTCCTTGGACCAACCCTCTTGGTTTACAAGCAGATGTCAACACTCAATTAGCCAAACTACAACTACTACAAAATATGTTGCAACTTGTGAACAGCACCAATTCATTGGTTAACATGGGTAACCCTTACCTCTTCAGCAATCAAATTCTCAACGGGACAAACACCTTCCAAGTTGAAGATTCAATCATGAGAGGTCAAGAATGTGTAAACCCTGCTTCTGTATCACTCTCTCAAACACACAGCGACTCTTCTCATCAGAATATTCCAAAACCAGGGACAGAAAAAGAGAGTGAAACTAATCATGAAGTTCTTGGTTATAACCAAAACATCAACACTTTACTGCAAAATGAAGCAGAAAATCTTCTTCCTGCATTAGTAGCAACTTGTCCTAAGAAAACTACCTTAAGCCAAATGGATAACAACTTCAACGCAGCACAAAAGTCAACCGAATCACCTTTCTCCACAACCTTCGAGGCTTGCGAGAAGTTCCTTCTTGATGATGATGAAACAAACGTTTCCTACTGGAAAGAGATTCTAGAGTATGTTCTTCTGTTCTCAACTGGTTTAATTGCCTTGCTTTTATTGTTATGTGCAAATGCATGCATCTTGTTTATAGAAAAGAGAAAAAAAAATATATGCAACTTTGTATTCGAAAGTAACTTGACATCATCTTGTTTTTATTTTGCAGTATGACATCCACTTCTGCATCACCAGTTTCCTGGTAGAAGAATGATTGCAATTCCTTCAAGATAATCAACTAAAGGATCCTCTACATAGATATACAGATTTTTTTTTCATTCTTTCATTCGTTTTTTTTTCTCTTTTGATTTTTTTATTTTTTTTTGAACGGCTAAGAAAATTTTCATTAAAAAGGTACCAGTGGTACCAAAAGAGAAATAAAATAGTATACAACATAACCAAACATACCAGTCTCGTGAAAGGAATAATTATGTCAAGGAAACTACATACCAAACATGTAGATTATTTTAGTGAATATACCTAGACATGCATAAACCAGGATTATAGCACCATTGTGAAAAAGTATACCGGAATGTCTTTGCAAATGATGACAGCCACCTCCAACTGTAAACCTGAATCTCGTTCACCAATCTTTCAAAAGAGAAGCTATTATCATTGAACCTGTAACGATTCCTTGTCCTCCACACTGTCCAAGTAGTTGCCAACCATATGGAACGCCAATATACAACCTGTTCGTAGTGTTGAATTGGTCCAGGAATGAAGTTGAAATGATCCAAAATGTTACTAGGTAGGGGGGCAGGACAGCTGATCCAATTGAGACAAACTTTCCATACCTTGTCCACCACCGGGCAGGTACAGAACAAATGATAATCAGATTCAATATCCTTCTTACAAAATACACATAATGCATCATTATCTGAGAGGACAATTCTCCTCCTAGCCAGATTATCCACCGTCGTGTCTTTTTTCTTCTGATTTGTTCATTCATAATGACTAGTTCACTACTTTTATTTTTAGTTTAGTTTCCTTCATATATTTGTGAAGTTCATAATAATTATTAAATAGAGTTCTTTTCATACGAAGAAAACCACACTGGAAATTGCAAATAATAAGTTTGATGTTCTTCGTTACTTTTGATTGTATTTGTATCTCCCCTAAGCATCATTCATTGTACCAAACAATTCACGATTAGCATGGCAAAATAATTCGTTGGAATTAGTGTACGTCCAGACCCCCATTTGCTTAGAAAGTTTGAGTGTGGAAGAAGATAAAAAGAACAATGCAAAAAGACACGTCAAAACAACCAACCACCCTCTTGTTTTCATGTTCACCAATAAAACTGCTCCTTAAGATAAGGATTTAGGTTGGCAATGCAGCTTTATTTGTACCTCTGTATATTTTTAAAAATTAAAATAAAAGTGAGCAATTAATAATAAAAGAGTGTGAACAAATTTTGGGTAATTGTAGTTATAAAGATAATTTTTGAAAGAAAAAAAAAAAAGAGAAAGAAAGAGTAATTTGAAAGGTATATTTTAGAGATAAAATTGTCCAAAAATTGTGGACACCAAGTAAAGTAATCTCATTTATTAATAGTAAAGATAAAGCAAAAAGATATGTAGAATTTGTTTGGAGAAATAAACATTTATTACAAAAAAATAGAAAAGAAAAATAAAAGTAATATCTTTATAAGCTTAAATCAGTTTATGCAAAAATTAATTAGTAAAAAAATTCTCATTTTAGCTTCTCCAAAAATATTTTATGCTTAAACTGATTTAAATTTATGAACAAGCTAATTTCATTTTTTTATCTTCTTATTTTTACTCTTATAAGCACTTTAAAAAAAGTTTATCAAAATAGATCCGTAATAAAACGTCCATTCAAAAGGTTTTATATAACAATATTAATTTAACAAGAGTATCCAAGAGTCATAGTTTTCATTTTTATATTGCCTATGTCCTCCTTAAAACTTGATATGGTTGTAGAAACTCTAACTGATGGCCCCAAAATATCTTCTAATGTGTGCTTTAATTATCTTGTAATTTCTTATATCAATTTTTAATTGACTTAATTTGTTTATCTTTTAGTCAATAAGTTATTATTCATAGTATGAAATAATTATCTTCTAATCATGTCCTACAAAATTGTTCTAATAAAAATAATTGTTTTCGGTGAAAGTAAGAGTGCAAATTTTATGATTGGCAACCAAGTCAAAATGTCTTTTTTAAAGAAAATGCCCATGTATACATGATTCTTGGTTCTTTAAAACTTGAGAGTAAAAGTAAGTTGAGTGACATTCCTTTAGTTAGAAAATCCCTATAAGTTTTTTCAAAGGATATATGTTTCTAGCCAACACTTGAAAGAAAGAGAGAAATATTTCTCTATAGATTTAGTATCCGGTAGGGATCCTATATTCATAGCACCTTATAGGATGTCTACCATGTAGTTAGTTGAACTTAAGATACAAATAGATAAATTCTTAGAAAATTTTTTATTAGGCCTAGTGTATCATCTTAAGGAACGTTTGTGTTACTAGTAAAAAAAAAAGATGAAAAAATGAGGTTGTATGTAGATTATCACCAATTAAACAAAGTGATCATAAAAATACATTACCTCATGGATTAATTGGTTGGGAATAGTGTTTTTAGCAAGATAGATTTGAGATCAAGTTATCATCAAATCTGGGTAAGGTGTAAGGACATTCCTCAAACTGCTTCCAATACATGTTATGAGCACTAAATATTTGGTTATGCCTTATGGTGTGACCAATGCATCCAGAATGTTCATGGATTACATGAACCACATCTTCCATCCCTACCTATATAGGTTTCTAGTGGTTTTTATAGATGACATCCTTGTGTACTTTGTGTCTAGAAAGGAACATGTTGAGCATCTAAGGGTTGTGTTGTAGACCCTTAAGGACAAACAAATTTATGTCAAATTTTTCAAGTGTGAGTTTTGGCTAGAGAAGGTTAATTTTATAGGACATGTGATATATGAGAGGTACAGTTGTAGACCCATCCAAAGTAAAAGTCATTCTTGAGTGGAAAACCCCTAAGTTAGTTTTTGAGATTAGGAGTTTCTTGGATTTAGCAAGTTACTATAGGAGATTTATAGAAGATTTCTCTAGATTAGCATTGTCTTTGACCAAGTTGACTAAGAAAGTTCTTGCCTCTGTGTGGGATGTGAGCTAAAGAAAGTTTTCAAGAGCTTGAGGCTAGGTTGACTAAGAGCACCTGTCTTTAATTTACTTGCCCTAGTGAACATTTAGTAGTGTATTGTGATGCCTTTGAGATGCGTTTAGAAGGAGTTCTTATGCAAAAGCATAAAATAGTAGCATATATGTCTAGTCAACTAAAAGACCATGAGAGAATCTATCCTACCCATGATCTAGAGTTGGTTGGAATAGAGTTTGTAGTAAAGTTGTTGAAGCACTACTTGTATAGTTCAAGATTTAAGGTTTTTAGTGACCATAAAATCCTTACATACCTTTTTTTTTTATCAAAAAGGGTTAAACTAGAGACAAAGGAGATGGTTAATATTTCTTAAGGATTACCATTTTTTAGCTTAGTTACCATCTTAGCAAAGCTAATGTAGTAGTAGTTGATGCTAATAGGATATCCTTATAGGTATTTGCCTTGATAATTAGGGAGTTAGATCTCTTATAGTAGTTTTGAAGCCTTAGTTTGGTATGTGAGCTAACCCCTAAGAGTATTAAGTTGAGTATGCTAAAGGTAGCCAATATCTAGGTAGATGAGATTAGAGGTGGTCAAAAATTAGATAATTTTTTGCTAGCTTAGGTTGAGAGTTTAAACCAAAGGAAAGAGAGTGACTTTAAGACGGGTATAGATGGAATTTCTTAGATTCCAAGATAGGTTATGTGAACTTCCTAGTGTCCCTAAACTAAAAAAGGTGATCCTAAAAGGATATAGGAGTAACCTTAATATCCACCCTAGAGCCACTAAGATGTATCAAGACCAAAAGAAAGTACTTTGGTGGCATAAGATGAAGAGAAAGATAGTTGAGTTGTGTATGCATGCCCAGCTTGCCAAAATTTTAAGGTAGAATGCTAGAAGGCTTCAAGGACAATCAAACTTCTAGATGTATTGATGTGGAAATAAGATAGTATATCCATAGATTTTGTGGTTGGTTCCTATTAGTGATGGGAATAGGTCAGGATAGACTAAACTTTGAATATATAGACCATGCTTGTTCTGCAAAATTAAAGTTTAAGTCTGACTTATTATCTATCATATATTTTTTTTATAAGTGTGACTTGCCTTTTTTAAAGTCTGAATGGCCTATTAACCTAGTTAAATTATTAATGTTAATTAAGTCAATAAACTTAATTTTTAAAAATCAACAAAATTATTTTTAAAATATAATTTACTCAATATTATTAAATTTAAATTTTAAAAGAAATATAAAAAAAATTAAATTATTTTTTATTGAAGGGACAATTCATGCGTAACCATGTATGTTAATGTACACTCATGCATATGTTATAAACTTATAAATCTATAATGAAAAAAAATGATTATATAAAAAAATATTTTAAATATTGATAATATATTTTTATTTTATAAATTTATTTGTTTATTTATATTTTTAATATAATATATATATATATATATTAATTTTTTATTGTATTATATAAATAAATAAGTTAACCTATCAAACATATAATAGGCTTTTTTATAAGGCTAAGTCTGAAAATAGGCTTTTTTAAAAGCTTATATTTGGCCTTTTATTAAACAGGTCAGGTTAGATCAAGTTTTAAAGAGATCAAGTCATAAGCTCTTGTTTAAGGTCTAACTTATTCTCATCTATAGTTCTTATTAACACTAGGTATCCTTTGGAGAAGTTGACAAAACTCCACATAGGTTAGATAGTTAAACTTCATGGTTTTCCTCCTAATTTAGTTCATATAAAACCCTAGTTTTACCTTTAGATTTTTTGATAGAGTTTAACAAACTTAAGGAACCAAACATAAGATGAGTTTTAACCTATCACCTTCGAATAGATGACTAACTGAGAGAACCATTCAACCCTTAGAGGATGTTCTTTGTGCATGTGTTTCAAAACATGGGGACAAGTGGGATAACATTTTACCTTTAATAATAGTCACTTATAATAATATTTAACATTCCAATATTAGGATGACACCACATGAAGCCTTGTGTGGTAAAAGGCATAGGACACCCTTGTGTTGAGTAAATACTAGAGAGAACTTTATCTTAGGACTTGA